ACAGAATCCACTCTAGATATTATAAATTACTGTATCTGTAGAGACACTGATTAAAAGTATCTTTACATGACTTGTCCCATAAATTTGTCTCCAGACTGTGTAGATACTATTCAGTAGGAAAACTGGCATGTTTTTTTTTGCTTTGAGAATAAGTCTAAGTGTGTGAGAATGTGCAGCTGCTGCTGCAGGGTGTTTTCTGAAGGCCTTCCCCTTCTGAAGGCCGTTGTTTGGGTTTTCAGCGTCACGGCGACGGCGGCCAGCATTGGAGCTGCGGGCGTGCCGCAGGCGGGCCTGGTCACCATGGTCATCGTGCTGAGCGCCGTCGGCCTGCCCGCCGAAGACGTGACCCTCATCATCGCTGTGGACTGGCTCCTGTAAGTCTGGGGCACTTGGTATTTAATCCTTTTGTTTGTTTGTTCGTTTGCAATGTTTCCAAAACTTTATTTGGGAATAGCTGGGTCTGTGAAGCAGCCTGGGGATGTTCCTCACTGAGATACTCCTTTGAGGACCCAGCCCCATGACCAACAAGCACAAACACATGCAAACTTAAAAAGCTGCTCAGGTCCCTGATCCCAACCACTTCACCTCAGAGCACATCCTCAGTCCCATGAACACAGCTGTTTCCCAGAGAGAAGCATTGATCTCCTGGTACAGCCACATTTAAAATTTAATTATTTTTTTAATTTAAAATTATTTTTAAATTTAAATTTTACTTACCTTTAGTGATCAGCCTACCTTCTTCTTCTTGGATAAAGGCCTCAGAAGCTCTTGTTTTGTCCACGTGGATATTTTAGGGTTTCTCTGTTGACTCCAAATGGTAAACAGAATAAGACGAAAGTACCTTATGTGATATGATAAACCCAAGGCCCTCAGCAGAGGGCTGTAATGTGGTGCCATCAGTGTAGTAGTCCTCAATCTGGGTCAAGTTTATCGCTACATGAAGGACATGTTTTCTTACTTTCCTGGAGCGCTTTGTCTCTTTCCAGCCTGAATGTTTCTCTCTGTTCCACGGGGAAGAGAATACTATCCCTCCTCCACCTCTTCCTTCCTTTCCCCTAGCTACTCACATTGTGGAGGGTGCTGAAACTGTATTGCAGGGGGTTTTGCCAAGCTGTCCAGCTCAGGGAACTGATGCAGGCATAGGGAAGAGTTTGGTTGTAAATTCACATCAGTTTGATCTGTGATTTCTATGTCCTATGCATACAGACTATGTATGTATCTACTGGTCACAATGAATGTTCCTGATTTCTCGGAACAATTAGGAAAAACTTTTCTAGACCCCACTGCTACATGAACTTTTCCCTAGACCAAGTGCTGTTTCATTATCTGGGATGAGCTGATAAATGGGAAACAATATCAACCTTTCTCTTACAGTGGTAGCATTTTTCACACAATTCCTCATGTCATCTCTATCTCTCTCTCAGAACATCCTGATCTAACCAATCAGTTGGATCAGTTTTCACAAATATTTTCTGTTCCGCTTCTACTGAGATTTCTTTCCACAGCTTGTCTCTCACTTTTGTCCCATGACTCACTGTGAAAGAGTAGCAGGATTCCATAATTAAAGAATATATGTTATAATGCAGTTTTTACCTGTCTTCTAAACTGCGAAAAATATAGTGCCCAGACCAAGGTCCTAGTAACCTCATAGTTACTGCATTACATTTTCTTAGGCTGCTTTTTGCACTCTAGATAGATCCATTCCTTTTCCTCCCACCTATGTAATCATTTTCATGAAGGATTTCTTGGCAGCACCCGCTGTATTTCACAGATATATTTAATTTATTTGATTCTATAACTCCATTTTGCAAACTGTTTTGAAACGCTGTTGGTTTCCAGAAAATCAAGGCTGTGAATGGATTCAAAAATGAATTCACTTTCTGTATAAAAGCATAATTGTTCCAAACAAAACAGCTCCAACCGGAAGTACGTTCTCCCCATCCGCTGTCTGCAATGGCAGCATATGGATCTGTCTGTTTTGCTCCACAATCAATTTTCCTCAGTCCTCTTTGATTCGGGGAAGGCATTTGGTTTTATTACAGATGACGGAGATCATCACAACCCACTAGTTCATAGTAGGGGTCTAAAACAAACAGTGACACTTTTCTCAAAATATTCTCCTAGAACATTGGAAAATCCAGAATTTGTGCTGTTCTTAGGTATAACAGGAAAATGTAGAAGCTATCCATTCCATCATGCAAAAGATAAAAAATTCAAGCTATGTCCGGTTCTGATTGTGATATTTTTTCAGATGAAGGTGTCTTGCTGTGTAAAGCAAATTAAAGATTAATTTCACGTACCAGGGGTCATTGCCAGGGTATTTTGCACCTCAGCAGATGGAATGCACACCATGATGGCATGTAGATTATTAACACTTTTGCCTTTTGTACTTATTGCCTAAAATGTATTATTTTACAACCTCAGTGTCTCATTAACAATCCTTAGTTAATTCTGAACTTACCAAGATTTTATTACATAGGCTTGTGGAGTTCTTCCATGTTCAAAATGAAAAAAAAAAAAAAAACCTGTTCATGAAAGACAAGTTTCCACTACCATGGATTGCCTCACTTGTCTGATTCTACCAGAATTTTACTTCAGTTTTTCTTTCTTCCCTCCTTCCAGCTTGGGGAATACACAGGCAGTTTTTAGCATAGCAACTCAACAACCATAGTGCAATAATATGCACCTAGCAGTGTGAATTGTTTGTGCAGTACCTGCTACTTGTCATATGTCTGGCACCCATGTCTCTGTGTATCCACCAAGGCTCTTTCAGCATTCCAAGCTGTGTCAAGCGAAGGAAGAACAAGGAAGCATGAGCTTCCACAGTCCTTACCTTATTTCCATGTCAACTTTCAACTTTGCTACACTGCGTAGTTATGTTGCTCCTATGGCAAGCAGCAGCAGATTTTTAGTGGCTGCATTTCTGTTGGCAGAAAGATCAACAGTATAGAAGTGTCTTATTCCTTAATATGATTTTTTAAATACAGCTTTGTACTCCCTTTAAGCAGGAGAGCCAAACACCACACACGCACTTTTCCATTGCAGGGTCTTGGGCTAGAAAACTGGAGATCCAGGGCTAAGCACTGGTTGAGGAAATGACTGTTAAAGAGACAAAGCATAAATCAAACTCTGCTGCTGCTTTCAGCAGCAAGCTTACCACAAAGAGACCAGCTGTGCAGTGTACATCAAGGCCTGAGAAGTGCTCCCACAAGATTTCGTAAGGCTGAACGCAGTAGTGACATTACCTGTGTAACAGAACAGTGATGTGACTTGCAGTTTTATGTATCCTTTGCAAAGTCATTTATCACAGCAGTTGTTCTAGGGTTCTTTTTCAAATACATGCAAGGAAACTTCTGTTCTTCACTCACTCTACAACTTTTTTTTTTTTTTTGTAATACCAGAATTACACAGGATCTGCACTTGGAAAAGGCCGCTGCTGTGCATTTCCTACAGTAGCTTACTTTTACTAAAATGATTTTCTAAGTAACATGCAGAACAACTTGTCTGATACCGTTTTTATTCCATAGGGATCGATTCAGAACGATGGTGAATGTCTTGGGAGATGCCTTTGGTGCAGGTGTAGTGGAGAAACTCTCCAAAAAGGAGCTGGAGCAGATGGATGTCACCTCAGAAGTCAACATAGTCAATCCTTTCGCCTTGGAAACAACTACGCTCGATAATGATGAAACGGAGACCAAGAAATCCTACGTCAATGGGGGCTTTGCCGTGGATAAGTCTGACACCATATCGTTTACGCAGACATCTCAGTTCTAAATCCAGAAGCTTCAGGTGAAGCAGGTGCACTAAAGGACATGACTATATGCATGATCTCAAAAAGTTTAGGGGATAATTGAGAATGAATTACATCTCAACTGTATTTGATTTACTGCACAGACTCTGATTCCTTTCACCCAATCACCTCTCTTCCCATCAACTCTCCTAGCAATCTGAACTCACCACTTTTGGTCTTTGCTGATAAGTTGAAGAAAAGAAAAGCTGTAAAATACGTTATTTTTTAAAGAATATATACTATTGCTGAGGCTACGCCTCTTTGGAATGAGCATGTTCATAGATGGATATTGTAGCTGGGGCAGCCAAATGTGTTTTTCTCAGGAGTAGCACAGCATTCTACATCTTACCTACATTACAACACACTTCTGTGTGGTCACTTTTAACATCCTTGCCTTCTAAACAGACAGATTGCACTGTACCAAACACCTACTGTAACTTAATCATGTGCCAAAATGTTCATTTCTGCAGCTGATAGGACACCACATGGGCAGAGTTATTCAGAAAAGGACAGAACAGAAAGGAATTGTAATAAATATTTTAGGATCTAGGGTTTCAATTTTCTTTAATCATTGTAAATATTGGAAATAATTGGACATGGCAGAGCTGCCAAAGTTTATGTAGTTAGGTTTCCCCATGCCCTTCATCTGAACACCAGCTGTCGGGACCGGCCTTCAGTTGTAAAACAAATTGTTCTTCTCTACAAAAACTTGAAGAGTTTTTGTAAAGTGAAACATCACCGGTTTAGGTCCACTTTCTTGGCCTTCTGGTACATTTCCATCAGAAGCAGGAAAAAAAGTTCGCTTATTATTGTCCACCTTTGACTCTAGCCAAATATTAATCCACTCGAAAGTAGGCAGAGGTCATGAAGATGAAAATAGACTGTACAGTTACTCATAGTGCAACTTGTAAGCCTTTTGTCATTCTGGATAATGACAACAAGTTAATATAAGGAATATAGGAGGCATGCCTTTTTTTAGAAAAAAAAGCCAGTGTCTGAGCTTTTTACACAGTCTGGTTTTTTGTTCCTTAGTTTTAACTCCTCAGATGAACATGCAAGTTGGTAGCTGCAACACTACTCCAGTGCCAATATACCAGCTAAATTGTATCTCACTAACCATTCTGGACCTAGAAGTCATGAGTTCTGGTGGCTTATTATAGGGGATCCACCAAGAACTTCCTCATAAGCAAACTCCATTTCTGAAGCATTTTATACAAGATTTCCATGGTGCAAAAATCACTCTCTCTGCAGAGGAGTTGCTGTAATGAACTAGTTTTTTGCCTTGCACATTAAAATCTGTTAGCCATTTTACTTGTAAAGTGACTGAAATTCATAGAAAGCTATTTCTTTGTAAATAAACTCACATTAAACCTAAACCTGCACTCACAAGCTAACAACAAAAAAAGCAAGTTCCTGCAGTGTTATATAATCACTTCCACCCTACTCTTTTGTATTTAAATAAACCAGGAAATGTGCCAAAGAGAACAGATGAAGAAAATAAGAAAATAGTAAAATAGTTAACTGTGGGTTTTGATAATTTGCACCTTAAGTGAAGAAGTCAGTAAGAAATAATGCTGTATTTAAACATTGTAAACTATATAGAAGTATTAATTAAGTATTGGTATGTTTATACAAAATAAATATGTACAGACTGAGTAAACCAAGAGTAAACCAAACTTCTGGCTGTGCAGTAATATGAAAAACTTATTTGTACAGCTTTGCTTATGAAAGGAAAAAAAAAGCACCGGCTTCCACAACTAGCGTGTAATCTATGCTTTGTCCTTTCTTTGCTTTTTTTTAATCACCCTTTTATGATCACTTTGTTATGTAATCACCCTGCTATGATGTTCTGTGAAGTGTTCCTAGTGTGATCAAAATAAATAATTTCTCTTTCATTCTTGTTTCACCCTGCCATCATCTCCTCACCTGTAGAATTTTGAGTCTGTCTAGCTATCGCAAGAAAAACAGAAACAGGTGAACTGATGATTTATGTTATCTTTAATAGTGACTCAGCTGCAGTTTTGGCAGGAATTAAATCTCTTGTTCCGGTAAGATAAATACATAATCTCTCAGCAGCACAGTGCTGACATTGCAAGAAAACCTTTTCAATTTGGAGGATTCAGAGGAGACATTTTTTATAACATATGTGAAGCGAAGTATTATTCAGCATTTTTAAGGATCACCTGCAACTAACCAGAGGTTGATGGTGCTGTGGTTCCATCTGCTTAGTACCAAAGGAACTGACTGGAGATATTGCTAAATCCAAGAACGTTTTCCCTGACACAACAGGCACAGCATGTATCTTCTGCATACTTGAAAAAACCTTGCATGGGTGAAGCAGCCTTTCCTACTCCACAGTTTCCTGGCGTGGAAGCCTTATAGATCGGCAGAGAGGCTTCCAGCAGAAAAGCCTCTGCATCTTTTGGCCCTTTACCTCATATTATTATGTTGCTGTAGTATTTTCTGAGGCTGCAGAAGCTGTCTTGGATTGGACCCTGTGTTTTGGATAGAAGAGTGGCTGTAAGGTATCTGCTCAGACATCTGCTCACACATCCCCTGCAAAACTAGGGAAGTCGCAGGTGGTTTGTTAGCGTGGGGAAAGCAAACACCTGGATGTAGCATGCAGAGATCCATCAATATGCTTGGGTCATCCAGGCCACCTCCACAGGAGTTTAAATTGCATAAACGTAATCATGATACAGGCAGTTTGGTTGTCCTTGTGTCCTTCTCCTTGATCCTGCCCGTGAGGAGGAAGGATGGGAGGAGGAGCAGATGGACTTTCCTGGTTAACAAGTGGCTATGCCACTTGGTGTTGGTGACAGGATTTTGGTTTCTATGACCATGGGACCCTGTTTGAAGATGGACAACTGATGGGAAGAGTTGGGAGCCACCTCACTAGGCAGGGCACGTGTGTCTTAGCCAACAAGTTGGCCAGCCTGGTTAGGAGGGTTTTACACTAGGAAAGATGAGGAAGGGGAGAGTCAAAGTGACAAGACAGTCAGTGTAACACGGCTCAAATCAGGATGCTCCCAGCAGACTCATGCAGACAGGGAAAAGCCAACGAAACACAACTATGGAGGATCCTCTTGCACTCCTATTGGGAAACCTGCATGCTTGATTCCCATTACCTCCCTGCAGTGCCTGTAACACGAATGCACACCAATACACACAGCATGAATTGGAGATCTGTGCGGTCTCAGGGCCGTGAGGTCACTGCAGTTGCAGATAATTGAGACATGGTGGGAGATATGGTGGGAGAGCACACATGACCAGAGTGCTGTCATGGATGGCTATGTGCTTTTTTAAAAAGTCAGGCCAGGAAGTTGAAGTGGGAGAGTTGTTATTTATGTGAGAGAGCAACTGGAATGTACCCTTGCCTAGGGGTGGTTGGGGAGTTAAGTCCACAGTTTATGGGTGAGGGTTAAAGGACAGGCCAATATGGGCAACACTGTTGTGGGTGCTTACTACAGGCCACTCTTCCTGACCAGGAAGAGAAAGTCAATGAGGCCTTCTACAGGCAGCTGGAAGTGGCCTCATGGTCACAAAAGTTCTTGTTTCCACCATCCTGGTATCTGCTGGAAAGACAACACAGCTAGACACAACATTCCTGCAGAGCATTCATGATAAATTCTTGACACAGGTGGTGGAGGAGTC